ATGTCCGTTCTTGATCTCATTCCGTCGACACAACACAATGTTCCACGTATAACGATACAGAAGCAGTTAACATGTTATTACTGTAGGCATTATAAAGATCAGAAGTAACCTATTATAACTGACTTCAGTACTGCGACATAAGAAGACTGATTAGTTTACATGAGCAGCATTTTCGACATGAAAATTTTATACAACATTTAACGATGTATGAAACTGGAACATTACTGTTTATACTTTGACTTGTACGGTGTCATGACTGAACAATCAACAGGAAAGAGTAACAGATTTGTTTTGCTGTAAATGCTCTTAGCTGTTTATTAACGTAAATTTTAGTTTATGCTGAGTTATGCTAATATGGAACATAGGACAATACTGCTACAGTGTTTTAAAGCCCAGCCAACTTCTTAAATTAGGTGTTTCGTTAGGTTCTCCATAAAGCATGTTCTTTGCGTCTGACTTCTCATATATACCATAACTGAAAGACGCAGCAGGTTATGAATTATTATTACTGTTGACATTTTAAAATCAGAAGTTGTCTGATAGAAAAGTTATCAGTTCCGGTTTCAGCACTGAGGCGGTGGAAAAGTATGATTTAACGTGAGATGCTTTGAACGTTCTCACTGAACGCTGCATTATTTCATGTTAATGTGAAAATAAAACTCTCATTCAATAATATGTTAAGTAATGGAAAGCTTAACACTATCTTCAGCTATATCCATGTAGAAAATTGTACAGTTTTCTTGCGTTATCTTATAGCTGCTTAGTTTGTGCATCCGCAGCTACACCGAAGACGTCTCCCAAAGGCAAACCAAGAACTAGGTGGCTGCTCCTTGGGATTCCTTATAAGATCAGTGTGATAGCGTCACGTGTCTTATGAACAGTGTCTCTAGAACCTCTTTCGCAGATTAGCTATAAGAGATAGGGAAACGGGAGTGGTATCGTAACATAAGAGATTGAGATTTTGTCGCTATTAGAAGTGCAAGTGCTAAATTATATAAGGGATTTAATAAATAATTTATTTTAAGATAACCATCCTTTTTGGAGCAGGCTTTTCAACTGTGTAGAAGCGTATTATTTCTATACTATCATAGTAATTACGAATAAGCATAATTTCTAGTTAATAAGCATAATTTGCTACATCTCGTAAAAAATGAACTCAAAGAGGTGCCTTTATCCTATGTCATCGTTTAACCGCAGTAATTAGCGATACCTTTTCAA